CTGACTTTATCCAGATATTTCTGATAGAGGCACATGCTTTTCTATATATGCTTGACCTTCCCTCTTGGTTTTAGATTAGAAAAAATTCCAAAGACTTGCATAGCACACACACACAGACTTTCTCTCTCTCTCTCTCTCTCTCTCTCTCTCTCTCTCCTCTATCTTACAACCTACACACTCTTTCTCTGGCAACTTTCTAAACCAAAAATATGGCTCTTCTTGTTGTGGTTCTTGACCTCAAATCTCAGCCCTTTAGAGTGAATACCTTACGGTTTGTGAACAAAATAGTTACTCCTCTTCAAGAGGTATGACTTTGATTGTCTTTACACTACTTCTTCCTTCTCTTTTCTTGCTGTTTTTATACTATTTTTTGACTGTTTTTATAGGCTGAAACTTGTGGCTTAAAGCTATCAAAGGTGGCGAGGTTAACTACCTTTCTTTGAACCTCATTTTCCAAGCTTTTGCCCTTGTGTTTCCCATCTATTTTTCAACTTTTTCCAGTGTCTTACCACTATGTTTCAGAGTTTTTTAGAGGCTAAAAATGTAGGTTTGAAGTCCCAAAAATGGAGGGGTTAACCAGCCCTCCTTAAGCTTGTTTACTAGCTTCATTTCTCCATTATTGTGGCTCATTTTTTTTTTTTTTTTTTTTTTTGTTGTTTAGCTTACTTTTTTTTAGCTTCTCCATGATAATTTCAGCACTGTTTCAGCCATTTTTAGGACTGTTTTGATGTTTTTATTTGGTTTATGCTTTGTACAGTAGGCTTGCAATGTAGTGTTCCTTATAGTTTGGTGGTTTAAGCCTTAGTCACCAACCTATTTGAGTTGATAGCAATTATTTTATGCTTTCCTACATGTGTTCACTTGCATAATCAGTTCTGCACCATCCCTCATTTCTTGGCTTTTTATGGCTTTTTATTTCATTGAAAGTTGTTTCAAATGAGTGTTGTTTAGGCTTGAAAAATAGACCCTTCAATGTTTAATGGTTTAATCTCTTCTGATGTTCATTACCAGGGCATTACATCTCTCTTATGCCCAAAACAACTTCTTGTTTGACACTACTCTCCATTTAGTGGAATTAACTATCATTCCTGGACTAAAATGACTGAAGAATGGAACAGTAATTAAAAGAGGGAATAAAGTTGGATTAAAAGAAGTAACAAGATAATAAGTCAAGCCAATTGGATGATAATTGAACCCACTGAGCCTTGAAGTGCTTCATACTCATTAGTGATGATAATGGCTCAAAATTCATGGTAAACCACTTCCCTTGATCAATTCCATGATAGAGAGGAGGTTTGTGAGTCTCTCATTGTCATTTATTGAGATTGTGCCCCCTGATTGATAAACCATTGCGCAATGAGTTCGTGTCAATTGATGGCTTGTGAATCAAGCCTACCCCTCACTTGATCTGTTTGTTGATAAGGAGAGACGGGGTGGACAAACATCCCTTGAAAATACTTTGTTTGCGTTTTGTTTCATGTCTGTTGCAGCAGGGCAGTACCAAACATTTGTGGTCGGCCAACCACCTCACTATACGGCTGAACACTTTTATTGGCCGGCTGGCCACCTCTTTTTTGGCCAACAGTGCCATTTTTCATGGCAGAACAGAGCAGAGGCTAGGGTAAAAACAGTTCAATTTTTTAACTGCACAACATAACCATTCTAGCAGTAGAACAAAGTGATTTTCGAAAGGAAATTCGCATTAATGCAGGAGCCATTCCTCACTTCTCGGGGCCTCGTTAAAATTATGTTTAATAGTAGTATGTTGTACCTAAAGTAGTGAACTTGTAATAATTAATTACAAAGTAAATTAAATTTGTAACTAGTTAGTTAGTTTAATTCCAATTTGTATTAATTAATTATAATAGCTAGTTAAGATTGTGTTGTAAATAATTAATTAGTTAGAATAGCTAGTTAAATTTTGTGTTGTAATTAATTAATTAGTTAGGGTAGTTAGTTTATTTTGGTAATATAATAATTAATTAGCTAGGACATTTATTCGGACCCTTCCTCTTAAGGGAAAATATGTAATAATGTTTGTATGTTTTCTAATCCCCAATTTTTTCTTCCTTTTATTTACTTGCTTATGATGGATTGCATGTAGCATCATGTTTTACTTAGCATTTTCCATGACTTGTATCCATTCGTTCGCATGCATAAGGGTTCTGCTCATCATTCTAACACAAATGTTGTCATTTCTACTTCCTTGAATATGTGCTTTATCACATGCCTCGAATTGACTTACATGCCATGCTAGTAGTCGAGCCTATTAATTGCATGTTGTATGTGTCGGATTAGTCTTATTGCATTGTTTAGGATCATGCATTTTCCTACTTATTTTGTTTCCTTTTGCTTGCCTTGGAGTACTAGGTAAGCGGTTTTTTGCTTTAGCATATTGCATATATGTTAGTACTGCCATGTCTAGCATATTTACCATGAGGCTAAGTGCTTAATTGATATAACTCTTTAATGCCGGTGGATGAAGGCTGTTTTACTTAAATTGGGATAATTTGATTAATGTAAATACGAGCTTACTTTTTCAAGTGGCACGTATTCAAAACACTTTTCAAACAAACATAAAATCAATGCATTCCAAATTTTGTGAGTTAGTTTATACTTGTGTGCATCACATAGAAAAAATAGCCTAAATAATAAAAAAAAGAGCATATACTATAAATAAGAATCACATCATGATTAGTAGAGGCCGATCTTTGATCGGGCGAGTGGGTTGCTCAGTTCATGACCTTCCCCTCTTGTACGTAAGTTCCCAAGCCGAGACACTTTGGTGATGACGGATAAATGGCCTCTGGCACGAGTCTCAGGTTTCTTGAATTTCCCAAAATTATTTATGTGGCAACTCTATAATCAGGCAAAATAGCCCATTTTTGGCATTTTGTTTCAAAATCGATTTTCCAAAAGATTTGTCGGATTTGGACTCATTTGTGTTTATCTGTTTGACATCGCACTTGTGAAATCAGATTTAGAACCACGAGAGTCCAAACGGTAGGGCTATCGTATCCAAAAGGAGCACGAAAAGCAGGCTACACTCTCTCTCTCTCTCTAGGTGTTCTCTCCCTCTAGATTTATGCTTTACTCACATTACTCACCCCCAACAAAAAACTTTATTTGTAAAATACCCATAATCCTCTACATTTTGAACCTATTGAAATTTGATTTGGTTGAGTTTTGTGGGTTCTCATTATTTTGTGCTCATTGCTCTCGCGTTTTTCTTGGGTTTTGCACTTCTTCTTGGATTTGGACTTTTTCTCTCTTTTTCTCTCTCCTAGGGTTTGACTTTTGACATTTTCACTCTTCTTCCACATTTTTTCCCCATTTTCAACCACCACTCACTACACTCTACATGGCAGACGACATTCCTCATGGTGGTGCCCCTCTTGAGGTACCCTTGCTTCCACCTACTGTCGAGGTTGAGGAGTCTGCAACTGATTAGGCTAGCGAGGCGGTGGAGGACATTGCCACCGTCATTGAGGCAGAGGAGTTTTACCCTCCCGATCATGATCCTGAGTTGCCACCATTAAGGGTGAGACCCTTCGATCCAGCCACTTACCATCCCCGGACACACACGATGGCCCTTGAAGGGATGCTGGGTTTTGAGGACTTCGCTATGGGCGTGCCCAAGGATGTCCTTTTGAGGGAGCGTGCCTCTTAGCTTTCTCATGGCGTTGCTGAGGTAAAAACTTTACTTTCTTGCACTTTGCTTGTTTTGCCATTACATTACTATCTTTCATTCCGTTGTGCATCGGACATACTCTATCTTTGACATAGGGTAATGTGCTCTCCTGGAGAGGCTATGGGGTGGTGACGACAGTGACGACTAGGGAGTGGTACCAGGAACACTGGTGGAGAGATGATGGGACACCCCCAACTCTATCCACATGTCCTCCACTAGGGAGATGACGATGACGCGCTACGATTTCTTGATGATTGCTGTATTGAGAGTAGGGGGTGATTCGATACCTTTCGACCTTGACATGGGCCAATGGGAGGCTGCCTAGATTCATTTGCTTGGTGCATGCCCTCCTCTGGATAGGCTGGCCGTGGTCCGATATAACTGGTTTTACAACCACTTCCACACGAGTCATCCAAAGACCGAGGAGGAGATTGAGCAGTATACCAGAGGCTTCTTAATATATCTACTTGGTACCACCTTGTTTGCGAATAGGTGCAATACCTTTGGCTTGTACATGCTGAGCGCGTTAGTGGTATTGCCTCGAGTCCAGTTCTACGATTGGGGTGGTGTTGGCCTCGCCACCCTATATGGCTACATGAGCTCCGGTTCTTGCAAGAAAGGGAACATGGTCAGAGGCTACTGGAGAGCTTGGGAGGTACACACGACACTTTCTGTTTGTTCCTAATGTTTTCTATTTTGCACTTTATATTCTTATCTTTGTTCCTTTTTTGTGCTCTCTGCTTTCCACTTTCTGTCTTTATCTCTGTTCATACTTGTCGACTCACACAAACGGATCTCTTCTTGCAGCTATGGGTATACGCATAATTCCCTGCCCTTGCCCCAGTTTCGAGGGATGAAGTAGAGGCAGTCGTCCCTTACTCCCGGTGGTATGATGGCAAGCGTCAGCCCATGCGTCATGATAATACCACCTTTGCTTATTACTGCTGCCTTGATACACACTCTGACAATTGACGGCAACTAACAACTGTGACTTCTCTATTTGCAAATCACATAGCAGCCATGGGCGGTAATGCTGGCTGGTACACGAGACGAGTACATAGGGTCCTAGGCCACCTCCTGATTTCAAATTTTGCTGGAGGGTCCTTTCTGCTGAACTTGGTACTTATAAGAGAGGTTCATGCACCAAACCTTGGACCTGCAGAATCCAATCGTTCTTGCACCTCCTCTACTATCTAAAAGGATGACTGATAGCCTCCTAGTTGAGGCTATCGTACATTTCATGGCAGGACAGAACGACGATTTCTTCTGAGGGGTCGGGGACTATGCATCCTTCATTCGAACTCATCTGATGCCACCCTTGACTGGAGCTCGTGCTAGAGATGTTGCTCATGCTGCTGAGGTTACTGCCGAAAGTGCTGCTTCCGCTATTCACATAGCCGGTTTGCTAGTGATTTCGACCATGATCCCATGCTGGCGGCCCAGTGGGGCGGCCTATCAAATTCTGGTTGATCCACTGGAAAGGGAGCATGGATATGTTAGGGACCCTGACATGCAGCGGGTATGCACCTTGCCTCGCAGTTTATAATTCACACCCCTTTATCTATATACTAATGTTCAAATCCATTTGCAGGTACCATTGGAGTACGTAGGCGGCCTCCTTGGATTGGTCGCTTCTCTAGTCTAGATGGTGCAAATGAGGGAAACATTGCTTACCATCCATGGTTATCAGGTATTTGACCTTCTTTCATTCATCTAATGGCTTTGATTCATACCCATACTGATTCTGTATCATACAATTTCGATTTTCCATACTAATATTACATCTATATTGATGGTGTTCTGATCTGCCCTTACTCATATTGATTCTACCGTAATACTATACTGATACTCTCTACTGCTCTGTACTAATTCTGCACAGCTTTGTACTAACTTTTTGTTTCTTGTTTTCAGCTTCCTTCTGTGCCAGTGGCACTAACAGCACTAGCAGCACTAGTGACACCTCCTCTGGTAGTGGGAAGTTGAGGCTGGCAGGCCCCAACACGCGGCAAGGATGAGAGTTGAGGTCAGGGCAGAGGTAGTGGCTTCCAAAGTCAAAGCATAGAGCCTTAGGCAGAGGAGACTTCCTCCTCTTCGGATCTAGTTTTGAGTGGGGATGATGATAAGACTAGCAGCCCTGAGGAGATAGCGAATAGGCACTCTAAGTCCGAGAAAGGGGATGATGATGCTGGCTCGAAGTTAGAGAGTGGAGAGGAGGCCGAGACTGATTCTGGTTCCGGCAGTGGAGAGGATGATGTCGGCTCTAGCTCTAAGTCCCACCCTTCTGATGATAGTGGTGCTGATGGTGATAGTGCCCCTGAGTCCCCTCTACGGAAGAAGACTCTCGAGCTTGACTCTGATTTTGTATTTTGTTTTGCTCTGTTCTTTTGTTTTGTAGTTTAGCACTTTGTATAGCTTCACATAGGACGTTACTTTTTATTTTGAAACATTTGTATTCTCTTTTGTAAATACTATGATCAGGGTAAAGCCCTGTAGTTTTATAAAAGGAGTTTTGTTTTGTATCTCAAGAATAGAACCACACATGGGTAAAATTGGTTATACTTTGAATTTGAAACTGAAAATGCTTGTATTTGAACGAAGTTCATAATCGGACATTGAGCGTTCAATTGACCAAAATATGAAATACAACTCAAAACAAGACCTCAAAAGCAATGAGAACTAAAAAGATCAACTGCCTGGCCAGCTTGAAGGTTGGTCGGCCAACCAAGGTGGACAACCAGCTAGGATAGGTGGTCGGCCGGCCAATTGCGATAGGCGGATAGCTGGCCAACAGTTGTCATCGACTCACACAACCTTATCCTTTATAAAAGGTCTACTCTTGCCATTTCCTCAACAGAACTTCATCTTTGCTTTTGTTTTCTCTGAAAATGGAGAAATTTCTTGCCGAGAGGGTTAAGGATTGGATGACCACTTTGGACAACACGAAAAGGGTAAATTTCTTGGGTTTTGGCATAAATGTTCTTTTTCTGTTGAGTAGTACTTTGCTTTGTTTTCCGTTCCTCCACGTCGCTGTTTAATGATGGAACCCAGTTACACACGTATTTCGCTTTGGGGCACAATAAATGTGCCCTACGTTTAAAGAATTTCAAGCTTTAATGGAATCCCAGTGTGATGAGCAGATTATGTCCCAGCCCTGTTTGGCCATGCACGGGCTCTTGAATGGATGTGTGGGCTTACTTTACATGAGGTTCAATCCTTTGCTCATGACGGGGAGTTGGACATTCCCAATTTGATTCGTCGGCTCTCTAGTATTGGAGATATATGTGACCTTTTCTAGCGAGGTTATGGTCAACATGCCCTCTACTTGTGTCTACTTAAACACTTCCTTCTTGCCCCTAGTTGCAATGGAGCTAGCATTAAGTTGATCGATGTGGCTCAATGTCTCAATGAGGGTAAGAGTTATATAGGTTTGGCATTAGTAGAGACTTTGATGGGTTTAGATACCTTCCATTGACGAGAGACTTCTCAATTTGTGGGGAGTCCGCTATTCCTCCAGGTATTGTTTCCCATCCTTTCTTATTTATGATTTTTCTCACATCACTTGGCACTCACTCTCTATTTTCCTTCGAAAACCCTTTCTTCACTTTTCTCTCAATGCACATCTCTCTATTCATTAATCTCTCATCTTTCATCCCTTCCCAAGTGTGGTTGATGTATATGCTAAAAGTGGTGGACCCTTGCCTCGAGTATTCGGCTGGAGCTTCCTTCTTTCATCCGCGGTTGGCGGACTTTCCCATAGAAGGATTATGGTGCGACTGAATGTGCAGTAGATCTATGAATGACATTGCTTGGTGTTGCCCCTCGCTTAACTTGACTAAGATGGCCTATAGTATGTCCCGACAGCCAGGTATATAGTGGATTGGCCTCACCCACTGCATGTTCTATTTCCCCATTTGGTTCAGATGCCAGTTCGGACATGATCAAACTTATCCAGATGAGGGGGTGGAATACCCTGCTTCATTTCCAATCCGTGCTTCACACCTGGCTCGATACCTCGCTACTTTGAGGACGAGAGAGTTTATGGCCCCTGCCATTAGCTTTAGTTACACCCTTTTCGGCGAGTACTTGGCTTGGCTCGAGATAAGACATATGTTGGGCCATCTTTGGCGGCAGAGACTTCCATAAGCGCGAGCAGAAGACAAAGGACTGACACTTGACTTACTTGTGCCCCTAGTTTTATTGCCTTGACTTTTCTTTTCAAGTTTTTATGATGTAAAAGCAACTTTGATTTAATTAGAGGGTTGGAGAATGTACTTGTATTAAAATCAATGGAATTAAAGTTATGGGTACTGAAAATTTTCCTTTTTGGCCTAAATAATGGTCTGTGCTGTAAAAGGTAAAATTTTAAGAATATTCAACTTTAATAAAACTTTTCAAAATAATTTTCGGAAACGGTCACTACCTAACACAGACGGAATCAATCCTTAAAATGTACAGCCCTAAATAAAAAAGATTGTAATGGCTCACAACTAGATTCACCATTACTGCTCCGCCTTGTAACTGGCCCTTCTGCAAAATGGAGGTAGCACAACCCTAGCTCATAGATGGAAAAAGATGGACCGATCAATCAAATGAACATGACAATTGAGTTGAAGATAGTTGTGGCTGAACTTTGGGATGAGCCTGCCTACGTATCCCAAAGATGGGAATCAGGTCTTACGTAGTTCGGTTAGGGTTCACTCAAGTATTAACTCTCTCATTTTGCTCTCTAACTTTTGCCAAAGCCGCCCTCACGGGTTTTCGCCCTTGTGAGCTTTGTCTTTTTTTTTCTTTATTTCTAATTGTTCATGCTCTCACTTTTGCCTAGGTCGCCCTTTTGGGTTTTCGGCCTAGCGAGCCTCTTAGGGGTAGTATTTCTTCAACTTGTCCATATTAATCGGTTGTGAAAACTCCAAGCCATCAAAATCCACGAGAATGATTGCTTTCCCAGACCAGATCGATTTGATGATGTAGGACCAGTCCAATTAGGTCAGAACTTGCCCCTAGGGTTTTGGATGGGAACTCGGTTGTCTTTGAACACCATATCTCCTTCTTTGACATTCCTGGATTTGGTTTTCTAATTGAAGGCCCTGGTAATTCTACACTGATATCCCTATATGTGATACAATGCCTTCAACCTTCTCTCGTCAAACAACATTAGTTCTTCGAACCTGCTCTGTTGCTAATCAGCCTCTATTATCTGATACTCGGCCATGGTTCTCAGTGATCGTACACACTAGAGAATAGGAAGTGGCCCCTGTACATGTCACAATTGGCGTTCTGTAACCCCTGAGTGCAAATGGTAGCTTATCTAGCCAGTTCTTGTAAGTCTCAACCATTTTCCGCAGGATATTCTTGGCATTCTTATTAGTGGCTTCAACAACTCCGTTGGTCTGTGGTCTATATGTTGATGACTTGTGAAAAGCCATGTTGTATTTCTCCAGTGAATCCGCCACCTCTTTCTTGAAGTTTGAGTCATTATCCGAGATGATCTCATTTGGCACCCCATACCTGCAGATGATGTTATTCTTGACAAACTTTGCCACATGTGACACCTTCAACACATAATAAGACTAAACTTCTACCGACTTGATAAAATAGTCGACCGCCACCAAGATGAACTCATGTCCATTCGAACCCTTTGGTGAGACTGCCCCGATGACGTCAATCACCCAGACTGAGAAAGGCCACGGTAAGTCATGTTGTATAGCTTTGACAGCGGAATGTTCATGCGAGGAGCATGGATTTGACATTTGTCGCATTGCCGCACAAAGCTAATAGAATTCTCCTCCATAGTTGACCAATGATAGCCTTGCCTGAGGATTTTCTTAGCCAGCATCACACCACTCATGTGCGCTCCACACTCTCCTCCGTGGATGGCATCCATGAGACGTTTCGAATCTTCTTCTTTGACACAGAGCTTGTGCATTCCCATATGACCTCTCTTGTATAGATTATCCCCACAGATGATGAACTGGATGGCCAGACGCCGTATTTCCCGTTTATCCTTAGCATTTTCCCCTGGTGGATACGTATTATTCTCCAGAAAAATTCCAAATGTCATAATACCATGGGTCCTTCTCTTGAACCTCATCTATTGCAGCAATGGTCCCATAAGCAAGTGTATATTTTTGTTCAATGATGATTGGACACATCTTCACTCTAAGCGGTATGTCTACCATGGAAGATAGAGTTATCAGCGCGCAGTAAACCGGTTGTTCTCTCTCAGCAGATTTGTGAACGTCAGTTTTTTAAACTTCGAAATTAGAATATCCAGGGTATGATGATAAACCTACATGTTTTCTTCCTTGAGCTTCCAATCCCTGTTGGATTGAGAAACAACCAGGTTCGAGTCTCCAATGATGTCCAACCTTATTGTCCTAGTTTTAGGGCAACCTCCAATCCAGCGATATACGCTTCATATTCTACTTCGTTGTTGGACACTTCGAATCAGAGTTTGAAAGCCAGGGGTATATGGGAATCGTCGAGTGCTATTAGCAACACGCCTATCCCATAACCATATTCATTAGATGCTCTGTCAAAGTACATTGTCCATGTTTCTTCATCTACCTACAAAATGTCTTCATCTAGGAACAGATGCTTTACAACATCATCTCCTTCCACTGGTGGTCTGCCAAAAAATCTGCTATAGCTCTCCCTTTGACTGATTTGCGTGTGACATACTTAAGATCAAACTCAGAGAGAAGAAGTAACCAATGAGCTATCCTACCCATAAGTGTCAGTTTCTCAAAGAGATGTTTGATGGGATCTAATCTCGAAGCCAGAATTACGGAATGAGCTAACAGGTAGTGTCTCAACTTCCTCGTTGCTTCTACCAAAGCTAAGCATGCTTTCTTTAAGGGGTGTAGCGGGTCTCATAGTCTAGCATCTTCTTGCTCAGATAGTAGATGGCCTTCTCCACCTTAGCTTCTGATTCTTGTGCTAGCATACACCACATTGTTGAATATGTTATCGCAAATACATGATCAGTGGCTTCCCTAGTTCTAGCAGCAACAATATAGGTGGATTCTGAAGGTACTACTTGACCGGTTCGAAGGCAAACTGACATCGATCAACCCATTGAACATTCTTTCCTTTCTTCAAGAGACCAAATAGTGGTTCACAAGTCAAGGTTAATTTTGAGCTAAATCGACTTATGAATTGCACTTTGCCCAGAAAGTTGCGCACCTCCTTTTCAGTCCTTGGTGGTGGCATTTCTAAGATGGCCTTGATCTTGGATGGATCTACTTCAATTCGCCACTGCATAATTAGAAACGCAATATTTTCCTTATAGTCATCCCAAAGGTGCATTTATGTGGGTTCAACTTCAGTCTGTACTCCCTGATCCATTCAAAGAATTTCATCAGTGCGTTGTAGTGGCCTTCTCGCTTCTTAGACATGACAATCATGTCATCCATATACACCTCAACTTCCTTACGGATCATGTCGTGTAAGATTGTGGTTGCAGCCCTCTGACTCTATAGTAGTAGGTACCC